GTCACTTGCCACTACGTGCGAGTATCGAAACGGACGCACGTACGATCTCTAATTCGTTTAAATCTTACTGCAAAGTTTCAGAGGATTTTCTAGACTAGTTAAAATTCGCATCAAGAAAGTGTTTCTTTTTTTCTAGAAGACTAATTAAAAGACTGTAAATATTGTTGGGTATTTTTTATATCTTGATTTAGTTGTTCGACGAAACGAAGGAAGAACGAAGAATTGTAGAGAGAGAGAAAGAGAGAGAGAGAGAGAGAAAGAGAAAGAGACGACAATGGAAATGGAGAAAAGCGTGACCAGAATGCTAATAGAGACTACTGGTCGTTGAAACGTTGGTCCAGTTTGTTCTAGCACGTGGAAATAGCGTGCAAACACGTCCCCGAGACGGTCCATTCACTGCGGGAGACTATTAATTACAGGAACACGCTCGACCACCACGGGAAATCGTGCTATCCCCCCGATTCAACTCTCTTGCGGTGCCCGTGATTTTCCACCCCTAAGTCAGCCAGCCAGAGGAAACAACGATGGTGTAGATGTCACATGGTCACTACCTATGAAAGCGACTCTCGAGCGTCGCTTCGTTTCGACGTCCAATTCCGTCATTCGACTCGGATAAGTAAATCTATCTAATTGAATTCGATTGAAACGATCGAGACGATCGACGATTGATTTTTATTATTAAAAATGATTAAAAGAAAAAAAGGGCGAGTTATCTTGTAAATTTTGTTTCCTATCGTCTCGATTAGAATTCGACGGCGAAATAAATATCGTTGATTTTTCGTAGAAAAATTGAGAAGCAACCTTAACTTTTGGATCGAGAATGTATATAGAAACCACTCGTGATTTCGAAGTGTTCATTGGGGGTGAGACATCAACGTCAACTCCCGGAAAGAACGATCGCGGTCAGGCTGGCCAGCTCAACGAACGTAATCTCGTTTGACAGTGGTTCTCTCCTGATTTAGAAAACTTCTTCCTGTATCCGCTGTTATTACGTAACTATCGGGCAAACAAACTGGTAAAAATCTAAATACCATGAAACACGTAAAATCTTTGCACGTTTCGGCTCGATCCAATCCATTTGGAGTAGCAAATATTTAAATTGCTAACTTTAATAAAAAAAAAAAATAAAAAAGAGGAAAAATAAAATGGCAAAGAATTCTTAAAAAAAAAATCTCTTCCTGATAAAAGCCAAGTAACAAAGAAACTTTAGAAATTAAAGAATTTCTTTCTTTGCAAAGTACTAGTCTCTATATTACTTTCAATGTAACAAAGATACTGTTAAACGAATTTTCTACTTCCATCAACTTGCCTCTATGCCTATACCTTTTCTACTTCTATAAGAAACTTTTTAACAATGGGAAAATTAAAGCGGCGGAAGAATTTTTTAGCGAGGTACAGGTATCCTGGAGAATTGGCCGAGAACCACTGATAGTATTCCGGAATCAGTGGTGCGAGTAAACCAATAACGCGTCCGCCACGCCGGGTGCCAGATTCAAATCCAACCGGGGACTGAAACGGCATTCGACGACGAAACGGATAGCGAAAGCTTCACAGGACATTTCGAATCCGACGCCACGTCCTGCAGCCGTTTCGGGTTTGTCAAATCATTGTCCATTCGATCGTGCACCCGTTCGTTCTCAAAGAGAGAGAGAATGCCTACCTCTTTTTTTTTTTGTCCGTTCCTTTCTCGTTAGTTCGTTTTATTCTACTTCCTAAACAGACCGGAGTAATTGGACGCTTTTTTTCGCGACAGTAACTCGTTCCCCAAAGGATTTTCCAGATTTTTCTGTTTCTTTTGTTTCTTTTACCGGCGGCTTCCAATTTCATTTGATATTGGTTTTTCGAAGTCTGGGCCTGGCGTTTCTACGAGAATCGGCGAAAGATTTACAACTTGGAGAGAGAGAGAGAGAGAGAGAGAGAAACACATGTTCAGACAGTTTAAAAAAAAAAATATACGATTGAAAATTGAAAATAATCCGAATTGGAAATAAAATATTCGCGTGCATCGTCGCCGCGTCCTCTCGAGCAAGCGGCAGCTCCGGATATTCAAGGATATTCCGGCCGTTTTACGGGGGTGTACGAAGCGTATCCAATTTGATGGCATTACAATAACGGGGGTAATGTCTGAGAATAATGAAATTTCCCTCAATCACCGCGACCCGCTTGGAATACGTTCCTCTACCCTGCTACCGCCGCCCAACCCCCGTTTTCATCCCCCTCTTTCTCCTGCCTCTGAACTACGAGCTTCCAACAGAGGCAGAGCTCGAGGACAACGAAACGAAAGGAAAGGAAAGGAAAGGAAAGGAAAGGAAACGAAAGGAAACAAAAGGAAACGAAAGGAAAGGAGAGGAGAGGAAAGGAGAGGAAAGGAAAGGATACAACGAAACTCGAGGAGGAAATGTGCAGACGGTTCGAACGATAGCGACGTTAGCGAATCGATTTCGTTCGCGTGCTATTTCGCTCCTTATCGAGGCAGAAAACGAAGAGTGCTCGCGCGCCGCCGCGCCGTTTCATTCCCAGCGTCGCGCGTCGACGCTTTCAGTTCCGGTTTCTTGATTCGCCACGCGATTCTGTTCCGTTCTGCTCGGGAGCCACAGATCTCCGAGATTTCTTTCGGTTTCGTCGAAAAAGGCGAAAAATTTAGACCGAAGAATTTTCAGCGCAGCTTGTACATAATTTGTGTTGACATCAGACAACGCAACGATGTTCTAGAGCGACACGATGCAATCGTAACTCTACATCTTTACGTCAAACACACAGACCCATAAACCGTATTCCTACCAAACAGATTTACACAAGCGTCTAATGAAACACCAAGAATTCCATTCCAACTGTTGGCAAATCACGAAACACTGACATTCGGAGAAATTAAAACGAGCAGTCAATTAACCTAAACGGGGGCGGCGTAAGTTCCAGCGGAAAAGCTCGTGTTCCGACACGGGGCGGGATGATCGCGGAATTTAGCGCTTTAACAAATTACGCGGATGGAGGGTCGAATAGAACGAAAGAGAGAAAGAGAGAAAGAGGGAGGAAGAGAGAGAGAGAGAGAGAGAGAGAGAATGAAACAACCTCCAGGGCGAAGGAGGATCAAAGCCGGTGTACAAAGTATAATCCCGGCCGCGTTTGAGCATCCTGTAAGCGCTTCTGAACTTGTTGTGGCCAAGATTAACGTTTCTTTAATGGCCCGTGTAATATTCCATTATGTACAGTTCGCTCGAGAATTATTGCGTCGAAGGGGTTGCAAGGAAAAGAGGTGGAGTTGGTAGATCGAGCGGATCGAGAAATAAAAGGAAATTCGCGATAGAAGCAATTTCTCTTCTCTCGCGACCGTTCCAGCCAAGACGATGATTTAGTTTGATCCAGATTTCCTTTTCGCTTTTCAATTTCTTCAGATTTTCAAGCCTCGGATACGGATCCTTAAATCTACTATTTAAAAAAAAAAGAAAGAAAGAGAGAAAGAAAACTGCTTGGTGCAGTAAAAAGTTTCAGCGATAAATTTTTAACCTAAACATCCGAAATTTTGCGCTCGACGGAAACTAGGCTCTTGTCACTGCGAAAATAAAAAGTCTCTGCTGAATCGTTTCCTATTTCCATCCACTCTGCGTATCACGCTCGCAAACGGTATCTTGCCTTCGATACTTTCCTCGTAACTTTAAGGGAAGAAAGGGTGATGAAAAAAGCGTCCTGTGTCTCGGTATTATCCCCTTCTCTTGGAGAATTCCTGCTCGAGCATCTTGCCGGGTATATACGTACACCTCGGAGCCATTACCAAGGCGCGATGGAAAGAAAGACGAAGAAGAAAGAGTAGTGAGAGAAGGGGTGGAGGTGGAGGAGGAGGGGGTGGCGAAGAAGGGCGGCGAGAGGAAAAGAGAATTTAGCGACCCTCTTTCGTTTTTTACCCTGAGCAAGAGTCGAGAGCCCCTTAGCCACCGTTTATTGGACGCATGCAAATATCCATGGCAACGAGGGACCACCATGAGAAGCAACCCCTCCACCCCCGTCGCGAGCTTTCTACGTATTAGTGGGTGGAGTGCGAGTCTTGGAGATATCACGAAGAAAAAGGGAGGACCTCCGGAGGGAAAAATTTCCTTTTGATCCGCTGCGCTATTCCTACCACCGCCAGCGATTTCTTAATTGATTCCTTTGTCCCGCGAAATCCAGCCCTTCGCGCCGCGTCCGACGCGATTCCTCGATGCTGCGCGTCGATTTTAATAAGAATGTTTGTTAGAGAATCTCTTCCGGAATTCTGCCGGAGAAAGAAATTTTTGCGGAATGGATGTCTCAAGTTTTTTTCTCTTGAACGATATTTCTCGAAATATCTTTGTCATTCCACCTTTTCCTGTCTGACAGCGTAATAAGATCACTCTCGTTCGCGATGATAGCTACAAATGAGTCGACAACGATGGAATTTATGTCGTTTATCTCTGTTTACACAGGGATTTCATCGGTTGGCATAAACACACCCTTATAGTCACCTCGCAGAAAACTGATTCCCATCCACCCACTTCCCTCGACTCTCTATGCAAATGCGTTTCTGTTTTGTGTGCGCGTAGAAAGCCCCGTTGACAATACGCTTGCGCGCTTACGACCTCCACCCTACAAAAGTCGAGCTCCATTACGCGTGTTTTGCGACATGCTTTATAAACTGTCGTCCTTGTTACAGTGGAAAGCATCATTGGACCCAAAGCTCCCCCTTTTTGCACCCGTTTCATTTAATGTTCCGTTAACGCGAACGCGTAAAGCTCGCCGCTCGCGCTTGCCGCTGTAATGGCGGCTTTCCGATCCTCCGCAGTTGAAATACTGTACGTGTTCGTCGCGTTTTTATTTTCAACGTTAGACCTATCAGAGCCAGGTTCGAAATCGTTCGTGGTGCATATTTGCATTTGCAATCTGATCGTATTACGGGCGCACGAACTTGAAGACATTACGAGTCTGAGTGAAACACTTACAGGAGGAATGGAAAAATTGTTAAAACGATTAAAGGAAACTTGTGTACTCACGCTAGGGATATTATCGTTGGTACAGACGCCTTCCTGGAGCAAACGATCTCTGATCTCCCACGCAAAGATGGAGGGGCACTCGCTCTTGTAGAGGGAGATCTTGCTTACGACTTCTGCCGTGGCTACGCGTGGCTTACTGCCACCGATCGCTCTGGGCCTGATCGATCCGGTTTCATAGTACCTGCAATAATAATAATTTGCGGTACAATACGGTACACCTTGACGAGCGAATATATCAAGAAATTTTCTTCCAACGGTTCCCGAGTGATTTTCCCAAGGAATTTCCTAAGGCAAATAATAGAGGCAAAGTGAGCAATATTTCAACCAACCTCCCAAGAATCTTCGAGACGCAGCCATTGCTAACCTGTAGGATCCTAGAGATGTCGCAAGGCCTCGCACCCGAATGCGCCAGCTCGACGATCTTTTGCCTCGTCGAGTCTGGAAGCGGTCTACCGCCGACGAACACACCTCCGAGCTGATTCACGCCACTGTGACCTGAAAATAAAACGATACGTCGATGAAGAAATCGAATCGTCCACCATCCAGACACGGACGCGGATGCCCAACGTTTTGCAAAAAGCAATCGTGTATATTTCTTTTTCAAGACTGAAGAATTGTTTTCCAAATTTCTCCGTAACGTTGTCAGTCGCTCGCGTTCCCTGATATATTTTTATCGCTATTTCTATGACTGTTCAATATTTTCTTCCAAACGAACACCTCGCATCGACGTGCGAGGTTTCTCTATTTTTCTTCTTGGAAAATTTCTCCCCCAAGAAATTAGGGCGTGGCAGGACTGCGACACGGTGGCCCGTCTTCTTCACGGCGGCTGCGGGAATATAAAAGATTCGCGAGGACGACACCGAACGCTGCCGACTTTCGTGTGTGTTCGCCGTGTCACCGACACAATGAGTCGAAGATTATCTACGATGGGATTCGCTAACGTTTTAACGCCCTGCAGCCAACCCCTCAGCCACGCTCGTTCAACCCTCTTGGAGAACGAACAGCTTCCAGGGAAGAAAGAAGACCCGTGCCCCTCCTTTTTCTCATCTTCTTCCTCCTCGCGTTCTTTTCCTTTCTTTTTCTTTTCTTTTTTTCCTTTTTTATTTACAGAAGATTTCGAAGAGGAGGGGAAAATACGTGATCTATGACGACGAAGGTATTATATAGGAAATGTGAGAATATTTCAGAGACGGTGAGACTCGTTTGAAAATTTTTTCGCTCTGTGAATCGCAGAAGTTAAATCTTTTTACTTTCGAAGAGAAGCACTTTTGAACAATACGCGAGCGACAGAGGGAGACTCCGAAGAAATATTTTCATCACGTCCCTGTGATTAATCGAGCTCTTTATATACTTTATCACTACTTTATACTACAATTTCTTCACAGATGAAAATCATCGATTCAACTGGTTGGGATACACAGAGAAATTGAAACAATCGCAAGTTTCGCAGCGAAGGCACCCCCTTCTCTAAAGAGATAATCTGCTTCCCTTTTCCTTTCGAAACGAATATCCTTTTCCCAGGGAGGAGGCTTTAATTTATTAAGTACGTCGCAAACGCGTGTTTACACGTTGCCGATTGGTGGTGAGTTATAGATAGACGGGGACGAGAGAAAAAGGTTTTTCGAATGAAAGGAACACACTCGTATCGACTAGGTATAGAATCGCGAGGAATCGTCTGGGCGATTCGCGCGCGCGAGCCCCATTTTCGAAAGTCAATCGACCGTGAGCTATCCCCTTCCCTCTCTCTCTCTCTCTCCTCTCTCCTCTTCCCCTCCCCTTTCGTCAATCGCATACGCTCGTAAATCTCCCTTATAACTCGCGCCGAGACTCGGGGGGTAGCTGACGACGACAACGCGTCGAATTAGCCCCGTCTGGAAATTTTTGTCGCCCGGTCGTCCTGCCAACTTTCCTCTCGCGTAAAGAATACCTGCCAACCGAACACTCTTCGGGAATTATTGCTTCTTCAGCAACGACGTTCAGCTGTGTTCGAAGGTATTTAAAGGCTTGGCTGCTGCCACGACGTATCGTTTAGATACGAAACTTCGAGTTATAGATCCCGCGCGAAGATGCCGACAGCGTTTAAAAATAGTTTATCGATTGTGTGAACTACTCATCTTCTCTTTAACCCATGAAGAATTAAGCGGTCACTTATCACCGTACAAGCAACCGAGTAGCAAGACGAGAGAAGAGATTTGTTGATATCTTGTCGTTGTGCGTATTTGCGTGTAGGTATAAGAAAAAGGGGTACGACTGGATGGATTTGAAATAACCGCGGCGCTAGAGCAAACAGCAAAGGGAAACAGGGGGATCCAATACGGCTAATGAAGTCCTAATAAACGACAGGCTTAGAGCTTGGCACCCTTCCCACTGATATTTAATGCAAATATCAGTTACAGTATCAAAACACGTTCTCCGACAGAATGGCCACTCGAGCGCACCCCTTCATCGCGCGCTGCTAATACGCGCAGAGTTATGACGATCCGACTGACTTGAGAGCGTGCCCCTTCATCGTTACTTTGTACCCTCTTGTAGATAAACAGAGGCACGCGTAAAGATACTGCAACTCCCCCTCTTTTTTCATCTCAAGTATTTCCTTGCAACTTTTTTTCCACAGAATTTCAAGTATAAATTTCCGATCATCGATCGTCAGTCAGTCAGAATCATTGATAAAGAAAAAGAACAAAAAAAAAAAGAAAATAAAAAAGAGGGGAAGAACGAAATGCTACAAAATTTCGGCCAGGAAACATTCACGTGTCGTAGAATGAAATGCTCGTACTTAAATAAGCAGCCAAGTATCCTTTAATTGAAGGAAGCTGTGTTACGCGTAATCAATTGTACAGAGTTATTAACGCATCGGTATTCATAAATCAACAGCGAAAGGGCAACACGCGGTAACAAAGGGATAAACAAAAAACGCAACAGGGGCAAATGTCGCTAAATCTCTCTCTCTCTCTCTCTCTCTCTCTCTCTCTCTCTCTCTCTTGGTCTCTTTCTTGCACTCTCTCTGTACGACCCTCGACGTGAAAGGGGCGAGGAATACGGCGAATTGTCGAGTTTCGAATGCCAGTCCTTAACGAGCGATAATAACTCGAGCAAATAGCGTGCATTTCTAGAGCGTTAGTTTCTGCTCGTGTTACGCGTCCGTTGTAAACGTCAAGAAAAACAATCGAGAAGAAGGAAAGAAGAGGAAGGGATGAGAGAAACGCGAGAGGAAGAAAGCAAGAAAGAAATTAAAGAAGAGTCTGAAAAGAAAAAGATAAGGAATAGTCGAAGATGAAAATAGAAGATGGAGCAGTTGTGAAAAGAATCGCGAACGAGATGAGACAGTGAAAATAAAAACGAGCTATTTCAAGTTCTAAGAAAATCTGACCGTCATTCGATTCCTGTGCAATATCGCAAGGATCGATTTATTATTCTCTCAAACAGCCACGGACGATTCCCCCGAGCAAGTTACTCGCTACGCTAAATCCGCACTTTTTCAGATCTTTTTCAAAGATCCCTCGTTCCTCATTTCCATTCTCTTCCGTGGAACAGTACATCGAAGTATCGTTAAAAAAGAAAAAAAGAGAAGAAGAACTAAAATCGTAAACCCCTTCCCTCACTGGCTGGAAACTTACACGAGGAACGATTAACGACGGCGAAACTCTCTTTGGCGGCTTTTCGCCAAGAAAAGATTCATCGTGGCCGAGACTTTCCGCCGACAGTATGATAAATTGCGTTCTACGTAGAATCTCGTTTAATCGATAATTGATCACCGTTCTTTTGTTTTTCATGATACCACCGATAGCGAATCAGCCATTATAACTAGTTAGCTGGAAAAACCGAGAGTTCCTTTCGTCGTATTCAGTCCACCGTGACTGAGCTTGGCCGACTTGTACGCACAACGTACGATGATACTATCACATACGTTGAAATATTTCGCCATGCGTTGGCAACGTTTTTATTTTTTATTCGAAAACGTATGCGAGACGCTTAATAAACGATATAAGCGACACTGGAGGACAGGCGACGTGCAAAGGATCGCCTAAATTTCAATAGCTGGTCCATCATTGTTCCGTGTAATTGATTACATTAACGGAGGACCACCTGGACGTAGTTGGATAAAACTAAAGAAGAAAAAGGGAAGCTACAACGTGGCAGGAATAAGAAGTTGCCTCGGATGATGAATGTGCCTTCTGAGCCGTCGCGTCAGCGAGGCTCTGTTTCTCGTTTGTAAACGAGCTTCCCTCTTTTACCCGCCAATGTGGACACCGCTTCGCTCGTTTTTACCGGTGTTCTATCGACAGGAAGAGGAACGTTCGTCCCCCCCCCCCCCCCCCCCCCCCTCGCCGTACTTTGTTTATCTAACCATTTATCTTCGACGAGGTAAATTCGCGAAATTAGCGGATGGATTACGCTTCCTTTTTATTTTTTTTTTTTTTTTGGCGAAACCTTCGTAGCCAAAAACTACCAAATATATGAAACGAATTATTAAAATTACGAATTAGATTGTACGTATTAAATGGAAAAATCTTCAAAATTTACCATGTACGGCGACTATGACACAAAGACGGGATTCACAATGGAGCAAGGAACGAGGAAGCTCCGATACAGCGTCCATTAAGTCAAGTCATTTTACGTCATTGTGGCCAACTATGCTCTTTCTAATCTGAAACGAAGACACAGAGACAGAGAGAGAGAGAGAGAGAGAGAGAGAGAGAGAGAGAGAGAGAGAGAGAGAGAGAGAGAGAGAGAATTCGTAACAAGCACGGAGGCAACTTGTAAAGTCTGAACAATGGATTCTGTAACGGGATGACAAACGGTTAGCGAACGATTAAGGTCGGTTCATCCGTTGTTGGTGTCTCAATCGGCTCGACGTACAAGTGTTTCCGGGGAATGAATGAACAAGACATCCCCCGCCTGCCCCCGTGGAACCATTTCAAGCCGCTCAACTTCCAAGAGGGAGGAGTCAAGGGATGCCCACTTGGCCTCGAGTACCTTCGCGGTGCCGAACGTTTCTGCACTCGGCGAGGATAATCGCTCGAGAGGATGAAAGAGGACGTGACCGAGAGCGATCCTGCGCCTCGTCCGACTTCCTTTCGCCGATATTTCAAAATACAAACTCCAAATATTGACCGAGGAACGACGTAGCAGGTGTAGTAATGGGAATCGAAACGAACGAGCTTGTAACGATGAGTTTTTGTTAGAAGAGCGACGTGAAAACGACACAGTTCCATTTTGGTACCGTCTCTTCGACTAAATCGTTCGAAAAAATTTAAAAATGCACAAAGATCCACGGCGTATCGCTCTGCCGCTGTGTTTTCGATCGCTAAAAGTCACGAATGAAAAAAATTCTACCAACGACAAGCAACGATTCCGGACGATTGACCAGATAAATCAACCTTGCACTCTCTCCACTGGCATCGACGTTGACAGGGAAATAAGAAAGTACACGAGTTTCGTACCCGTAACAGGGCAATCTATAAAATCCCCTATTACAACGATCTATAAAATCC